GCAGCTAGGAGGGTAGTGAGTGTCATTAGTATAGCTTGCAGAATCCACAGACTAGTATCCTCAGAGATTAAGCATAACGAACAATGATGACCAGTCCTTTGTTTCTTTACATGCCTTCTGTTCTTTGATTATTCTGTTCATGTCACTTTCGCTGCTCTCAGTTAAAATCAACGCCCTGTCCTTCCTAACATCTCAAGGAGAAACTCACCATCAGACATCGGTGTCCAAAAACCATCTCTTCGTCCACCACGATCCCGACATTCTAGATGATAATATTAAAAATATGGCAACGCACATAATTTGAACAGAACTCTCTACCAACCAACCTAACCTGCACAGAAATCAAACCACCTACACTTCTTCTCCGTCTACTAACAAGTAGAAACAAATCTAACCTGAAATAAGCCAGTAATCACCAGCATACGAATCGATACCATTTACCTGCCTGTCCACTTGACTTCCTCGTCAGCAGATACAAGCTCGCAGTGTCATCCCCCGTACCCTTTTGGTATGTATACGTCTAGGATTGCCATGACCATGACCACGATGTCATACTTGTTTTGCCTACTTACTATCTATATTGATAACTAGTAATAAGCCATGTCAGTGTAAGGGGGATAAAGACTCATACATACATGGATAGATGGTGTAAGTGAGGTATTATTATAACATAACAGGAAGCAAAGCTACTATCAGTGATATGATATAACCGACAGGCCGTATGTAGTAAGTAGCTGATATCATAATGATAATACCATAAGCATCCCTAGCTCATCACCTTGGTGTGATCAACCAAAGGAATTGTTTGTATGTATGTATCAACTGAAAATAAATGATAGAATTGCATGTTACTTTTGGTAACTTATTATTTACTTGAGATGGAGAAATGAATTGGATTGGACTTGATTTGATTTGACCTGTTACATGTATGCATGCAGATGTGCAGCCATGCAGCTAGCTGCAGTAAGCAGTAAGCAGTAAGCAGTAAGCAGCTTGTGTTGACGATTAGTTACTTTACTTCGACTATAGCGTAGTTCATACAGCGAAGTAGATATTGCATTGATAGAGCCAACACCAAGTAAGTAATCAGTTGGTTATCATTCTACCCTCAGAGGACAGATATAAAGTAAGCTAACTAGCTATATAACAAGATTATGTACGAAAGAGGAGGGAATCAAACAGACAGCTGAATCTTGGTTCAAACTACTCCAGAAGTTCGCTTTTGGCCTGGTTCCCTATACACACACTCACTCACTCACACACCAATATCAAACAGAGACGAGACGAGACGTGTCTTCCGGACGGATCTGGTTTAAAAGCTGGAATAACTGCAGGAAGTAGACTTAGGTAGTAGCAGCGCGCAGTAAAATGTACGGCAGGAAGCAGGCAGTTCGATTTAATGTGATACGGTAGCAAGAGAGTTAAGTCAGTCAAGAGAGGAAAAAAAGAACAGCAGAGAAGAACGTGAGTATCTTTCTCGATTTCATGAAACCATTTCCCTGAGAGGAGTCAATATCGACTAGAGCCTCGTTAATTATAACGCCACAACACGATAAAGAGATCAACATAGGAAATAAGTAATATAAAGAAGTAGAAGGAGAAGGTATAAATAAGAAGATTCAAATGAATCAAATCGCAAAGAGAAAAAGAAAAGGTGTGTCAAGGGAAAGAAGTTGTTTGAAGATAAGGAAAGAAGAAAGAAAGGGCCAGGGGCGCATCTTGTGATGTAAGTATTCTCGAGCATTAAATGGAGCATGACTAACGCTAGGATGGTGGAGAAACGCATCACTCGATGGCCCTTTGGGAAGTTTGATGACCAGATTAATCAAGTAGTAATAGTGATAAGAGGATATAAAAAGCAGTCACACGAGGCCACTGGAATGTAGCTTGAATACAAGCAGGGCAATCAAGCAAATCCCATCGGAAGCCGGTCGACACTTCTGGTTGGCAGAGTGAAAGAAAGGATATGCAAAAGGAAAAGAGGATACACCAACGCCTAGTCACTTGGGCACATATCCAAATCATGTCGACAGAACACAAGGATAGGAGAAGACGCGATGCGAAAACAAGCAGAGAAAAAGAGAAAAAAAAAATGACACATGAAAAGCAAAAAGCGAAGAAGCACAAGCACGAACTCAAGTTTATGGAAATGTACAGAACAAGGGTATATGAGTTAAGGACTTAACAACCGTCGGACTTCATTTCACAAGCCATCACCGGCACCGGTCTCAACACCATCGGTTGGATACGATATGTTGGGATCAAATCCAAATCCAGCAGTGTCTGCATCAGTGTTGAGGAACGTATCGAAGTCGAAATTCTCCAGGATGTCCGGGTTTTCTAAGGCGCTGAAGTCCAGGTTGAAAGCCGATGCCTGCTCAACAATGTAAGTATGATATCCACCGAACATAACGAAAGAGGCAAGGAACATACATCAGGGATGCTCAGTTCATTGAAAGGCTGCTGCGTCTGGTCCGGAGGCTGTTGAACAAGTGGCGGAGGTGCAGGGGCAGACGTTGGCTGCTGCGGAGCACTAGTCGTAGCATTTGCACCGGCCTTGTTGAACGAGTTCGGATGCTGGGGCGTGATCGGCGTCGACGGCGTAGGAGTCGGCGGGTGTTCTGCTTCGGAAGATGGCGTGGCAGCCGTGTTCGCCTGGGCGGCGGCGGCGGCAGCAGCAGCGCCCTTCTTCGGTCGCTAAGATTTGCGTTCAATATGAGATGACAAGGGGGGTCAACAACCAAGAGTGTTGATTACATACCTTCCGGCTATCCTTGGTCTCCTTCTTCTTCGGAGCGGGCTTGTTGCCTTGCTGCGGCGTCGGCGGAGCGGCGGTTTGGGGCGACGGAGGCTGGGTTCGACCGACGTTGGCACCAGGTGCTGGGGGAGCTTGGGGCGGCGGCATGGCATTCCTTTCCTGAGGCGTTCCCGTGGACTGAGGCTGGGTCGCAGGCGACTGCTGCGGCGCCATCGGCTGGCCCTGAGCTCCTTGCTGCGGCTGCCAACCTCCGTTGGGCATGCGATTGCCAGCACCAGCCTGAATCGGTTGAACCATCTGAGGGGCGCTGAACGCAGGATTGGAGCTCGGAGGGCGCATGCCGTTGGGCGCCGCCATACCATCAGCCATGTTCTTGACGAAGAACTGGGGACCCGCCATCTCGGGAGGCATCTGGCCACCAGGGAAGTTCATGGATGCCGGGGATCCACGGCCCTGGGCCATCGCGTCGGCAGCGCTCGGTGATCCGGGGAGGCCGGTCTGGGGCATCTTCGGGGTGCCTCGCTTCATTTGGTCGTTGGGATTCGGCGATGTGCCAGCCCTGCTGCCTTGGGGCGAGGTGCCTGGTGGCAACTGCTGCCCGGGCATTGGGGGTTGGCCATCGGGCCGAGCCATGCTGTCCTGCTCCTGGCGAGCCATCATCAGACGCCGCTTATTCTGCTGTTCGAGCAGCATAAGTTGCATCTGATAATCCTGGAGAGCGTGGTTGCCGTGCTGACCGCCAGGTGTCTGCATCCCCGTCCGAACCTGGGCCATTTGACCATTCGCGCCATAGTAGTCACCGTTGATGGGATACACCTGGCCTTCCGGTATGGACACCATTTCCGTCTGCGGGTTTGCCATGACATTCGCGGGATTCATCATACCATTCGGCATGCCCTGGTTCGTCAATGCTGAGCGTGTGTGATGAACGGCCAAGTTGTGAGCATATACCTGCATCTGTTTCTGCTGCGCAGCCGGTCCCGACTGCTGGAAAGCCTGGAACTGATTGGGGTTCATCGCCCGATTGAGTCCGTTCTGCATCAAAAGTGCTTGCGGGGTGGGCTGGCCTGGGATACCCTGGGCCTGACCGCGTCCGTTGGGTGCCAGTTGCTGCCCGTTCATGGGGCCACCCTCGAGGCGAGGTCGTTTCGACGGAGACGGGGCATTTTCTGCCGATGCGGGGGACTGGGGTCGATGGCCGTTCATGTCCATGTCCGAATGCTCTCGCTGCATCTGTTGCATCAGCTGGACCTGCTGGTTTTTATGCATCTGGGCGAGTTGTTGTTGCGATCTGTGAGTGAAAGACGCAGTCAGTACCAATGTAGTCCGAACGCTCTTGCGAGGTGGCGCAGGAGATAGGGAAGGGGGCGCGTACAGGCCAGAAGTATTATTCTGCAACACAGTCTTTTGAAGATTAGGGGGGACCATGCCGTTCCGGCGAATATTCATTTGGCCCATCTGTCCATTCATCAGTGGCTGCTGTCGTAATAATTGATTCTGATGTTGTTCCCTGAGGCGCATCATATTCTACAAAGCCTCAGTTAGACGTCCGGACAGGCGGCAAAGAGTAAAGAGCACGTACCTGGGTGTGTGTAAGATAACTCCTCACGTCATTGCTGTTTCCCTTCTTGCGCTGAGCCCAGAAGAAATCCCAGAAAAGGCTAAACCAGTCAAGGAGGAATGACGACTGCTGTCCTTCATTAGGGAGATTAGGGCGGGGGAGGTCATCAGGAATCTTCATTTTATCTCCATCCTTTCCATCCGTCATCATTGTATCACCGTCGACACCGTTCACGTCGGCATCGCGACGATGACCCGGACTCGTCTTGATCGGCGGCTCGGTATTAAGTTTGATGGACTCATCCTTCACAAGCGCCCTAGCACAATCGTGGTAGCCGCGCTTCAAGAAATAATCGTAGATATAAGTGTTGAGGTTGTTGATCATGTTTTCAGGAATGTTGATGTTTTGTTCGTTACGGGGGGCGGCAGAGCCATTGTTGATCATGGGCACACCTCCCACTGGGCCCCCTGCACCGGGGTTCATTCCAGCCATATTCATCTGGTTCATCTGGTTCATCTGATTCATGGTGGCACTCAAAAGAAGGGTCCAGCCACCCTCACCTAGTTATTGTCTTCGATGGGAAAGCGTCGGGGGGTCCGAGAACGTTCAACGCGCATCCACCGTATTGCGGCGAGGGAGCTCACCACAAAGGAAGCGACGAGGCGCAGCGCGCGGCAATCAAGGTCCCGAGGTGAGGGAATGTACAAGGCAGGGTCACAGACGCTTCCAGCCCAGTGTTTAAAAACGGCTTCGTAACCAGACCTGAATGCGCGATCGCCAGGGAGTAAGCCGGGTTCCGGGGCTAATCTAGGCGGAAGTTGAACCCGCGATATCGTTTCACGCTAACTGACGTAGAGGGGGGTATCTCTGACGGAGTATAGGACAACGCAGAGCAAAGGTGTCGCGATGATCACCAACAAGGAAGGCGAGTGTGGCCCACTCAGAAGCATACGGCAACTGGGAGAGAAGAAGAGAAAGAATCTTCGGTGACTTCCACAAGGTGAGGCGAGACGGAGCACAAGCGGGCAAAAGGACTTTCAATCGAGACACGGTCCAGATGAAAGCAGGAGACAGGCGGGATAAGGAAGGAGAAAAAAAGATTAAGTGAAGAAGGGATTGGTGTACTTGTTCACAGAAGCCAGTTGACCGAAAATGCGCGGTAAGATCAGCCGGGGGGGCAGGGCGGCGAACAAGCGACACAGGATGGCAAAGGACGGGAACGAGGTATAGGAGAGAACCCGACCAGACGCAACCCGACGGGGGGTACCAGCCAAAGCCAAGGATGTGAGAGGACTTCAGAAGCAGCAGAAGTATCCTCAAAAGCCCCTGCAGCAAAAGGAAAGGGGGGACAGACGGAGAGATCCGGCAGATTTGAAGAGTAGGAAGTGGAGGGGGGGGGGGAGGGAGGAGAGAGAGAGAGGCAAAGGTTAGGACAAGGTGTAGCGGTGGATCTGAGGTGTTCTCTGGTGGGTGGGAGGACGTGGATATCAGGCGCGGTGCCTGGAGTTGCTCAATCACTGCCGGCCGGGCGTGAATCGCTTGTTCGGCGCGGATTATCTTGCCCGGAACGCCGTGGGAGGGCTGGGAGATGCGGCTGGCTCGCGTATATCTCAGCATGCAGTTCCAGCGGAAATCCCGAAGGGAAAAAATAAAAATTTGTAACAGAGAGAGAGACACAGAGAGAAGAGTTGACAGGCAATGAGATAGTAGAAAGACAACAGATGATGATTTACATGAAGGACTATTCTAGAAGAACAAGCATGAAAGATTCAAGATCGGAGCAACAACTTACCAGTATATTTGATTGCGATGAGAGAGAGATGAAACGAGAAAAAAAAAAGGAGAAGATGCCGGTAAAAATTTCAAATAAATCAAAGAGGCTGGTTATAAGTTATATGAGATACCTGTCTCTCTCTCACTACTAATTCACTCTCAGTCTCTTGCTTCCTTTGGACTCCGAAGCATTAACACGCGCCGAGTGATCCACCCGATCTGGTGGTGTATAAAGTGTATCTGATACAGCGGAATCACCGCGACCCTTCACAATGTAATTGATCGATTCATTGATTTGAACCCACTAACACAAATGAATATTATACTATAGATTTGAAATAGACAATACGTATTCAATGACTTTCTCAAATTATCGATATCACTAGAAAATATTTCAAAAAGTGAATAACACAGCGATTCCTCCCTCTCTTATTCTCTATTTGACAGTTTGAGGCTGCTTTTCCTGAATCGCAGACTCGCCACCGCGTATATCCTGGCACACCCTGGGAATGATGGGATGCTTTCCCCCCGTTTTGGTCTAGCGCATCACGTGGTGCCTCTCCCGCCGGGTGAGGATTTCCTGCGCCGATCTGCCCATCCTGCCGTTCCCCGGACTTCTGTGTTGAATTGTTAGCAGTCTAGATACTGATGTTGCACATCATACGAGTTTAGATATCAATTGAGATCTCTACCCTTCCCCGCGCACGGTATCTCTATCCTAGCTCTTTCAGGACAAATTCCGGGCTCTGCCGCTCTGTGATTACACTTTTCCATAGCTAGATCAGCAGGATCAGACTGGATCGCGTTGTATCAATCAGACGGAGTACAGGTCACGGCCGTCAGTCTCCGATCACTGCCGAGTCGTGAATAGTGCGGGCCGTCCTCCGTGGGAGATGTGTTGGCCTGAATTTATCGACATTTAAATTGAGATTGCTCCGCTCTTGATTCACCGGAAAATCATTACACTACATATTATACACATTTTGTAGTCTTATATCGTCTAAAATCACCTCTCAAGCCTGTGAAATACAATTACCGTGAAGCTGGTTTTCTCTCCGGTTAAATTACAGGGACCTGAATCGCATCGGTGGTCTTCTCCGGGATGGCAGAATCTCACACCGCCTTGACGAGGTACCAGTGCGCCTGTCATGCTAATGGCACCCGTGTAGATCCCCATGCTCCGGGTTCGGAGAGCGTCCCTTTGTAAAGATGGGATCTACTATATTGACAGGTCATGTTCTAGGCCTTGATATCCGTTGTAAATTCCTTTTCTCTTTAATTTTGCTTTCATGCAATTGTTCATCTTGTCCGTCTGCGACAATGAATTGGTGTTTTGATCTGGTGACCTGCAGGAGACCTATGTAAATGGGGTTTAGTGCGAGAACTCTAGGCTGGAGTTACAGATGCAAGACTCAGTATCAGTCATAAATCGTAATAGAGGTAGTATTCATTGGTAACTGCAGCTCCAGATCGGCGGATTAAACCCTCATAACACCAGACGCCTCTACGTGTATAAACAATTTCAGAACCATGCGGCTGACGCTATCACTCCTCATCGGGTGGCATCTCATCCTCAATGTACCTTACAAGTGATACCCGCATTTCCGTTGTATCATCGCCCCGCAAAACGTCGCTCACAAAATGCGCCTCGATCTGCATTTGCACCTGTTCCCAGAATTAGCACAGATATGCATGGAAGTGGCTAGCAGAGAACAGATCAACTCCCTGCAGCACGCCGTCTTACCATCTCCAATGCACCCCGCAAAACTCCACAGAGAATATTAGAAAACCACAGCTCATCTTGAGCCCGTCCGTCATCGGGCAGCTCAACGAAATCTGCCAACGGGTTCTCTTCAAATATGAGAGAGAATTGGTTGTTGTCACTCGTCCAGTTGGTGACCGTGGGCGCGATGTTGAGGAAGATCCTGAACCCAACCTGCAGTTGGCATAACACTCGTCAGCTCACAGAGGTCCATATAGTTTCGGCCGAGTGCTCCGCCTGTTGGACTCAAGATACCTTTGCAATCATATCCGCTGTTTCCCGGAAATTAGCACAACGGCCCACGCCCGACTTGGCCAAAAAGTCCTCGATAAGTCGCATTCCAATATTGTAGCCCATCTTCTCCAGTTGCTTGTTCACTTCTTGGTAGTTTCCATCGTAGTCCTGGCAAAGTTGCGCGACAATTGTACCGTACGTTAATGTTACCAACTCGGCGTTCACTTTGTCAACTCTCGTCCTGGTAAGGTCGGGAGTATGTCAGTTGTCCGTCCGTTTCAAGCTGGCTTCGCTCGGTTCCTCAGGGGCCTTCGAGCGCCAACTATGCGCATGCAGCTTACTGACTTCCACAGCCTGTCGGGTTCAGAACGTTAGTAAGGGGTTACTGGTCAAGGGAGGTAAATGAACAGCTTACTCTTCCCCAATCCTAGACGCTTTTGTTGCAGATGACATGATTGCTAATCACGCTCGTTAAGCCCGGAGTCAAAGTAAATAATATAAACGACGCAAAATCTCACAATAACTCAAGTTTGCAAGCGGCTGGTAAACAATGACAAGAGCAATGCGCACTCTTCCCCGCTTGATTCGGTGGACCGAGGGGGCCTGAGGCGGAGCTTCACGCGCCTGGTGGACCAGCGCTCGGCGCCTAGCGCGGCTGGTTGGCGCTTACGCAGAAACCATGCTTAGAGCCTCGGACGCAAGACTTAGTCCGGCTCGGCGCGTCCAGTCCAGATTTCCCCAGCTACTAGGCTTGATTGCATTCTACACTCAGCCTCCATCCCTACTTCGACTCGCATACCCATTGATTGAGCTCGCCCGCTGAATTTACTTCCAACGATGTCGGGGGAAAAGCGACCTGCGCAAGAAGCCTTTGGCTCATCGAACCAGCTTGTCGTCAAGCGAAAGAAGTCCGACGCCGGTCTCAATGATAGCACAGCCATCGTCCAGAGCTCGTCGCAAAATGGAGCTCTGATTCAATCAGTATGCTTTGTCTCATGTTATTGGAGAAGTGAGGTTTTTGTCAGGTTCCATTGTTGACCTTGGTTATAGGTTCCCCGCACCAGCGGGCTTCAAGCACCGATTATGGAAATGAATGGTGAGCTGCACCACCCCGGTGACTTACGACTAAGTCTGACATATAATGGATAATACTAGGTCATTCTGGTGAAATCTTTTCGGTGCGGTTTGATCCCACTGCTCAGCACATTGCTTCGGGCTCAATGGATAGATCTATCTGTACGTGTTTCGTCTGATTATAGTGGCTAGAAGGTGCAGGCTAATCGCAGAGTCGGCAACAGTGCTTTGGAACACATACGGACAATGCGAGAACTATGGTGCGCTATCAGGTCACCGGGGAGCAGTTCTTGATCTTCAATGGTCGCGCGACTCCAGAACGTTATTTTCCGCATCAGCCGACATGACGCTCGCTAGTTGGGATCTCGAGACCGGACAAAGGATACGCCGGCACATTGGGCACGAGGAGATTATCAATTGTCTTGACATAAGCAAAAGAGGCCAGGAATTGCTGGTTAGCGCAAGTGACGACGGCTGCATAGGCATCTGGGATCCCCGGCAAAAGGATGCCATCGAATATCTGGAAACCGAGTTGCCCATCACGGCAGTGGCGCTTTCGGAGGCGGGTAACGAAATCTACAGTGGTGGCATTGATAACACTATTCATGCTTGGGATCTACGGAAGAAGGGCATCGTCTACTCCATGGCGGGACACACGGAAACCATCACCTCGCTCGAAATTTCTCCCGACTCGCAAACTCTTCTTTCCAACTCACACGACTCGACTGTACGCACGTGGGACATCCGGCCATTCGCACCGGCCAACCGACACGTCAGGACATTTGACGGGGCGCCGGTCGGTCTGGAGAAGAACCTTATCCGGGCTAGTTGGGACCCAAGTGGAGAGAAGATTGCGGCGGGCAGCGGTGACAGAAGTGTCGTAGTCTGGAACTCGAAGTCCGGCAAAATCCTATACAAGCTCCCAGGACACAAGGGGACCGTTAATGACGTCCGGTTCTCACCAAACAATGAGCCCATCAGTAAGTCACACCGGGCTTGGGGAAAGTCGTTGGTATACTAATGTCTGTCTATAGTTGTCTCGGGATCGTCCGATAGAACGCTCATGCTCGGTGAACTTGGCAAGTGAGGGGAAGCGCATGTGCAGCACACCCACTCAGCCAACACAATCGCGAGTTTAATCCGTCTCATTACGAACAGCATTTATCTATGACAACAGATTCCGGGTCCCCGCTCCATCAAGTTGAGCTAGACTTGTGGCGAATAGTGATGGCAAGAGAACCTTCCAGCATCAACCTTGCTTGCCGGTTGAAATGTGTCAACCAAGGCTGGTAGATTAGCCATTCTGGGTAGACCGGGGAGAACGGCCGGCCGCATGACGGGGTAATGGTTACCACCATTATTTGAATACCTCCCGTGGAGCGCAGTATATCCATCTATTCAATGCCTTACAAGTGTAATAATATACGTCAGAATGATAATGGCTCGCACTCCATTTGTGTAACCTTGGAAGATTATGGCGATAAGTGACCCTAGCTACGGGCCAGCTTTGTCTCAGTAAGCTGTGGTAGCCGCTTTTAATGAAAAATTACCAGCGCGTCGAGGAATTCATTGGCGCTCGATTGGCCCCCTTGGGAAGAGGGTCCTAAGAGAGGGGGCCCTGACTGTGAGGCCGAAACAGTTGGCTTCCTTCAGGCGCGAGGAGCCACAGCCATCCTTAATATTAGTTTAGTATTGGTAGTATAATCTTTACCCGCATCCAAGCATCGGCCCGTCAGAACCGAAAGTGAGAGAGTCCGATAAGTTTGATGATGCCACGGGGAAGAGTGTCAAGGAGCACAGATGTACTGTTACCAGTGCACAGGTCCGTTAGACCAGACTAGTGAACTAGTATAGTTCAATTCTTAGATGAAGACAGCTATGGCGTAAGATCAATAGCTATGCAGCAGCTGTGGGTTGTTATCGGACAGCTCGGACTTGGTTTTGGGGGGGAAGAGAGGGGGCCGAGGGAGGGGAGCTGTGGCTATACTTAGTATTGAATGGTGTCCGTGTCTATATCAGGGCAAACGTGGGTCATCCAGGGGTAAAATGGTCAGCCCCTAAAGCAGAGGAACGAGGAGAGACGCCAAATCAGCATTCGGCAGTCCATCAACCAGCTAACCAGCTACTAATAATAATTTTATCGGATCAGGCCGGTTGTGCAAACTGGATTCCAGTTTCGTCAGTTATACGTAGAGAAGTGGGTAGGATAGGGAAATGATGGCTAATAATAATATCAAAAGGGCAAAATGAAAGTTACTACTTACTATCAAAAGTTGTTTAGGAAAGACCTGCGTGTGAGAGAGAGAAACTGTCTGTAACCAACTAAGCTGCTTAGCAGCACCACTTCCCTTCTCTTAGTCGCCCGTAATAATTACCCATTGGGGAACGGGAAGTGTCACTCTCTCTCTCTCTCTCTCTCTCTCGTTAGTTACTCTCTGCCTCTCTCAGCTCTTCCCTTTCTCTCTGTTTCTCTCTCGCTCGCTTTCCCCATCTCATTGTTTATTCCGGGTTCATAGTATGGATCTTTCGTTCTTGCTTGCATACAACAACATCTGAGGCTCTGCTACTAGTATCTTTTTCCAACGTTTCTTTTTGCTTCCACTTTCTTCATCTTTACCTCCTCATTCTTATCGGCATCTGCCCATTAGTATTTGCTTTTTCCCCTGTGATATCTTATGCCCTCTCCGTCCGGAACTATCATTCGGGTATAATAGTTTACTGTTCGTCGAACCTCTCTCACTCTCGCTCTCCGTGCTGAACCGAATCGCCCTCTCCTAACCGGCTGGCCTGGTGCTCGCCCTGTTCCTTCGCTTTTTCTGCGCGTTCGTTTCAAAATCCACTTTTCTTCTACTCTATCCCGATACAATTCCACCAAATCCTCTTGCTATCTAATTGCCTTTGGGTCGCCATCGCCCGTGTCCTGTGACTTCGCGATCGGGATTCCTGCGTCTGATGCTGCTCTCCCCTGGGCCCCCCTCCTACACCCCAGGCTCGATCTTCATTATGAATGTATAGCGTCCGAAATCATAACCAATTTCCCAGTTCAGCCCACAGATATCCGCCTTCGCTAGCAATTATCCGCTTTGCGTCGTAAAGGCCCTCATTCCAGGCGGTTTGCATCCGGTTCTGCGTTCCCGCGACGCTTATTTGTGTGTTGTTCAACGAATGCGGAAGTGGGCAGTACATATCGACGCAGAACATATCATATACGCGATTGGAGTTCCCACTATCGACGCATATAATACTCATCAGTGATCTCTGCGAAGCACTTGAAAGTCGCGCCCTGCGTCTGTCCAGATGTCATTGTACGACTGCTAGTTTGAGTTGACATGGAATCGGTTCAGCTGTCTCATTCGGGATCGACAACACATTCCAGCTCGATCCCCGGCATGTTCTCGCCCGATCGCTCTTCGCATGTCAATTCCAGTGGGTCAATCGCTGATGACCAAGTCCAACGAGCTCCCAATCGGGAGGAGCGATTCACATCATGGGTAGCCGACCATCGTCTCGACCTGGAACAACGAATCCTTGGTGACCGCGCTGGGCGTCGCGAATCGCGTCTACCTGGTCGACCAGCACCGTCGCATAGTTCTCTTAGAGATGCTGCTGCATCTCAATATGCGCCAAGAGGACCGTATGTCCCAATTGAGTTGCAGTCCGCAGCAGCAGGAAGCTCCGGTGAAGCACGGTCGCATGCGCGCTCAGGACGAGATTCGCATGGAGCACACCCCCCGCCAGACCCTGAAGACCTCCGATGCAGGCAATCGTTCGTATCACGGCTGAAGGAGAAGAAACTGCGGAGGCGACTGATCACGCTAGTTATATCCGCATGTTTCCTCATACTCGTTATCGCCATTTACCTTGCATTCGCTGCTTCCCGTACGACATTGGGCCGAGAGCTCCAAATTCTTCTCATCTTCATGATCTTAATTCTTGGCATTGTTTTCTGTCATTCTCTCACGCGCTTCTTGATGGCACTGTTACGACGGCCTGACTCTGATGTCGCTACGAACCGCATACCCAGCAGGGCAGGGCCAGCCGGCTATGCGCAACCAGCGCGTCCTATCCACGTTATTTTAGCTGGCGATGAGGACGTCGGAGCAGCGAGCCCGAATGCCGTGCGCGAAAAGGTCACGGCGCCTCCTCCGGCCTACGGTCTCTGGCGAGAAAGTGTGGTAAGTATCGCCATGTTTACAAAATACATATGTTTCCTAGATGGTGACCAGCCCCACTGACTTCACTATGCAGAGGATCAACCCCGACTTGCTGTACTGGCAGCGCATCGAGAATAGCAATGCAAAGGGCGTTGGCAGGCATGGGAGCAACAAATCGCGGATCCCACGGCCGCCTAGCTACACCTCTGACAACGGCGTCGACTATGTGATAGAAGCGCAACCCCGATCATTCACACAATGGCGCATTCCTGAAGAACCAGGGCATCAACCGTGACCCGTACATATCCCTCTCTCTTTTCTCGACATACTGAAGCTGGATTCACCGACACAATGACATCCACAATCGTCTCGTTATCCGCAAAATTCTTTATATAGCGGCACTGTGATCACCTTCATCTGTATTTCCTTTGCTCGAGATATCCCCTGTGACTTTGCTTCCTTCCTTTTTTTGGCGACTTTCTCATCACCAACCATATGCTGTTTCTTCGTTTTGTTTATACTTGATTCTTTTGGATGAAGCGGGAGTTACATTGGCATATACACACTGATCTATCCGGCCAGCATTGTTTGAGCGCTATTTCATTAAGCTTGGTTTTCTACTGCAAAGTACATCTTAACCGTCTAAATGTGAAATTATCCGGGAACGAGGCCCACCGTAAGCAAGCTGATTCATCAAAAAATCTGTATTAATAATGTAGACATCCCCCATAGTGGAATTAAGGGATCCTGTAGTCCGAAGGGAAGGGGGGAGTGGAGAGAATGTGAACGGGATATCTGGCCGCAAATTGGTTCGCCGCGGATTGAATACGACCTCACGTGCGGCGCCGCTGCCACCACCAACTTCCCCTCAAGCCTCTTCCCTCCAGGAAACCCTTTCTCTGGAGGCAATTCAGTTCGCCGGTCTGCGGGGATTCCACATTCAACAGTTCATCAACGCGCTCCCATGCCATTGATAACTGTTTCGCTACTGCGGTAATGCGCTCGGGATGTTGGCACTCGCAGATGTCCGCCCTCCGTTCAGCATGGATCTTGACCTGGGTCTTGCAGCTGGCGCTGTGGCTCACCATGGCCCAGGGCATGCGGACCGATCAGGTTAAGGAGCTCAGGTAAATCTCACCACCCATAACTGAGATCTCTAATTTCCCTGGTATTGTGGCCGATCGACTGACACCTTTCGATATCTAGGAAGGAGACAGAGCATATGTTCTACCACGGATTCGACAACTATCTCGAGCATGCCTTTCCTGAAGACGAACTACGCCCTCTAACATGCCGTCCGCTGGTTCGCGACCGAGATAATCCCGCGCATGCAGAGCTCAACGATGTCCTGGGAAATTATTCCTTGACTCTGATCGACAGTCTGTCCTCCCTGGCCATACTTTCCTCGAGTCCCGACCAGGGCCAGAAGGCGTGGGATTACTTTCAAAACGGAGTGAAGGATTTTGTTACACTGTACGGTGATGGATCCAATGGCCCCGCAGGCCAGGGCCAGAGGGGTCGAGGGTTCGATATGGATAGCAAAGTGCAGGTGTTCGAGACGGTGATTCGAGGATTAGGTAGGCATCGGAACTTGTGGATGGAGAGTATGCATCGATTAATGGTTCTCTCTAGGTGGTCTACTCAGCGCTCATCTTTTTGCTGTGGGCGATCTTCCTATCAGCGGATACAATCCGCCGGAGGCCGAAGCCAACTTCGCCAGAGCCTGGGATAAACATTCCTTCCCTGAAGGTAGTCACGGCATCGAGTGGGAGGACGGATTTGTCTACGATGGCCAACTTCTACGACTTGCTGTCGATCTTGCGAATCGAATCTTGCCCGCGTTCTATACGGATACTGGTCTCCCTTACCCTCGAGTGAACCTGAAATACGGAGTGCAACGGCAGCCGTACTACGCAAACTCGCCGTTCAATGCAGCCCCTACGTGTGACAAAGCCAATCCTGAACAGTGCCAAAAGCCTCGCCGCTCCTCGACCTTTGAGACTACGGAAACTTGCAGCGCTGGCGCTGGCAGTCTGGTTCTAGAGTTTACGGTCTTGAGCAGGCTTACAGGCGATGGGCGGTATGAGGAACTTGCCAAGCGGGCGTTCTGGGCCGTTTGGGCAAGGAGGAGTGATATTGGATTGATAGGGTCTGGTATTGATGCCGAATCCGGCAGATGGGTTCATTCCTACACCGGGGTAAGTTTTCAAGCACGTGCATCTAGGCGTGGCTAACAATACGATGTCTCAGATTGGCGCAGGAATTGATAGCTTTTTCGAGTATGCTTTCAAGTCCTACGTGCTACTATCGTCAGGGGAACGACCCCCGGTCAATACCAGCAGCCCATGGCATGTTCTGGACGACTATTTCTTGCCACTTTCAGAATATGAGCACTCCGCCGATGCCTTTCTGAAGGTCTGGGAGGAGTCTCATGCCTCGATCAAACGTCACTTGTACCGAGGAGAGGGTCATCAACATCCGCACTTAATCCAGGGAGACATCTTTACCGGAGCGACTCGTGCTTTTTGGATCGACAGTCTCAGCGCCTTCTACCCCGGACTTCTTACTTTGGCGGGAGAGGTAGACGAAGCTATCGGCATCCATCTTCTGACGACGGCAGTCTGGACTCGGTTTTCCGGACTGCCTGAACGATGGAATGTCGCCACTGGGGACATTGAGCAGGGCCTTTCCTGGTACGGTGGCCGCCCTGAATTCGTCGAATCTACTTACTACCTCTACCGAGCGACAAAGGACCCCTGGTACCTGCATGTCGGTGAGATGGTACTGCGGGATTTGAAACGGCGATGCTGGACCAAGTGCGGTTGGGCCGGTATTCAGGACGTCCGGAACGGCGAGCTCAATGACCGCATGGAAAGCTTCTTCCTGGGTGAAACTGCCAAGTACATGTTTCTGCTGTACGATTTTGACCATCCCCTCAACAAGCTAGATCAGCCATTCGTCTTTTCCACCGAGGGCCACCCTCTTATTATACCCAAAAACAGCACAGCACAGCGCGCTGAGCGCAAGCAGGTACCGGTCGATGTGGAAAGCGAGGGTTTGACTTGCCCAACAGCACCTGAGCCTCCTACATTAGGAGTCTCATCCACTGCGGCTCGGTCCGATCTGTTCCACGCCGCGAACCTGGCACGTCTACATCTTATGCCGAGTAGAGGCGTAGCGGAAGGCCCTCTTCTGGACTATGCTCGGGACCACCCGAGCGTATCAGTGTCAGACTTGTCGTCGCCCACCAACTACACATTCTTCCCGTGGACATTGCCTCCAGAGCTGGTCCCGTTTAACGCGACCAGCGCACCAATGACAATTCGCCCAACGCTCGACATCTCTTTCCCCGCGCTTCCCGGCATGGTCGTGGGGCCCGGATCGCTGGAACGAGTGCGCGATGGCATCTTCATCAAAGCCATCGGGGGCCTACGGCTGAGTATGGTCCAGGATGTCCCCGTGCTAGGAGAAACCGGCAGCGCAGAAGGGGACGAATTCCGAGTCCAGGTGATCAACAACGTGCCGCTGGGCAAAGACGAGAAGGTATATCTTCTACGGGAAATCACATTTGATGTCCTCGACCCCACCGACCCGAACTTCACGCGGGTTCGCGACACCGCCATGGTTGACATCGTCATTGACGTTATCCCAGAGTCTATCCGTCGACGAAATGATTCAGATGATAGTCATGAACCAGCTGCACCTCGACGTGCCAATGGAGCCATCGTCCACGGCTCCAGCGCCGTCGACAGCAAAGTCGGCAGCGTAGACGCATCGACCTCCAGCATGAAGACCGTCCTCTCCTCGCTGGTCAACACCCTATCCACTCTCCTCCGGGATGAAGTGCAAGGCCAGACCAGCCTGCCGCAGAAGAAGAAACCAACCTCGTTACGTCTCCTGCTCCCGGCCGCCATCTCCACGGGGCTCGGCTCCGCCCCACTCCCCGACGTGGAAGACGCCACAACCGTCTCCATCACAGGCGACCCTTCCAAGCAACGCCTCACCTGGAACAGCATCTACTTCGCGGACGATCTCTGCGACGACCGCATCCTCCGAGAAGTTGCACAGAACCACCAGGTGCTCGTGATCAAGCGCGGCGGATGCAGCTTCTCACAGAAGCTGCGCAACATCGCCGCGTACCCGCCTTCCCGGTACGCCCTGAAACTCGTCATCGTGGTCTCCTACGATGACGAAGTCGAGGACCAGCACGACGGATCAGACACCACCACCACAACCCCCGGGTTAGCCGCGGTCCGTGCAGAACCCTATTTGGTGCGGCCCCATCTGGACGAGACGCAAATGACAGCCGCGGGCGTCCCGCGACGCCAGCTGCTCAGCGTGGTCATGGTAGGCGGAGGGCAAGAGACATACGAGCTACTGCGACAGGCGACGGGAGTGGGAATCAAACGGCGATATTCGGTACGATCGCAGGGTGTTCCCATCAATAATTTGTATATTTTGTGAGACGACATATGTACTACCCTGGTACATAGCCATTGCAACGAGTAAACTACCTACCTACCGACCTAAGATAGCATCATAGCATAGTATAATAACATACGTAGTAGCATACATTCCCAGTACACGTCACTTTCTCCCACCTCCCACCTTGCACATTAACATACCAAAGCCAAACCCATGACATACACACATACCAACTCAACGAAGATCTCCATTCAATCTCTCGCCACCTCCATACGGAAACCTCCGAAACGGAAAGATAAAAAATTGATCGGCAATCGTTCGGGTCCCCCCTCCAACCTCCACAACCGAAGATCCGCCCGTCACGTCAAATGTCGCCATTAAGATTAATGGTTAGGAAAGGTATTGGTTGTAGGTAGTTGTGGCTGCCACGGGGAAGGGGTGGCACAGATGACTCAGCTTGCTCAGCCTCAGGCTGAAGAAAGTGGCGGTGGGGCAGAGTTACTTGCCGATTGGTCGAAACGGTAAAACCCCCCCCGTGGAGAAAATCGATCTATTCGTTGAAGAGAAACCAAACCGTCCCTGCCGATTTAGAACCGAAACAGAAAAAGTATAATGTAAGGCGAACGGCGCGCGGGATGGCGAAATTGAAAGCGAGGAGGTTTAAGGTTTACGTGGTTTGGAATGTGTCCCTGATTTTAGTGGTTTGGAGGAGAGGAGGGGGGCAATGGATGGATGGGTTATAAATAGTTGGGTTTCTTTTCTTTCTTCTTTAGAGGGTTGGTAGTCTTTGGTTTGAATCAAAGCAAGAGTTATTATCTACTTGTCTTTTTCTTATAGACATTCATTTGGATTGGTTCGGGTACTTTATTCCAGTCACACTCTCTCTTACTCTTCACTCTTTTCTCGAATATACATCTATATACCAGTCCTATCACAACTACTATCACAACTACAACCACTACAAACCAAACTTCTCACTCAATACAAACAAAATGCATCTCCACACAGACCTCGACGTCGACACCACCACCACCCCCATCAACATCACTACTGCCACCTCAGCAGCCAAACCCACCACAACCACCACAACAACTCTCACCGAACTCACCTCCACAACCCCATCCCCACCCCCCACAACCACCCTCTCTAGTGGTACGGCTAAACCCCTCTACTTTGCCTACGGCTCCAACCTCTCCCCCACGCAAATGGCCTCCCGCTGCACCGCCCTACCCTCCTCCTCCATCCCGCTCGCCATCGCCCGCCTTCCCAAATGGCGCTGGCTGATCCACGAGGGCGGTTACGCCAACGTCGTGCCCCCCGCTGAGATGTGCGTCTCGAAGCAGCAAGCCGAGTGCATCTCGACCGGCGAGGTGGGTGTTGCTGGCGGTGCTGACGAGGATGCCGTGTACGGTGTATTATATGATATGGGAGAGGAGGATGAGAGGATCCTCGATGGGTTTGAGGGCGTGGACTATTCAGCTCCGGATGCTGCTGAGGAAGGGGCGGTGGAGGGCATGGTGAGGGAGAAGGAGCAGGGTCATGGGAGTTATAACAAGTGGGTTGTCGAGGCGGAGGTGGTTAAGTGGATGAATGTTGATGGGAATGAGGCCAAGGCGGTGCCCGTGTTGGTGTATGTGGATGAGGTGAGGGTGCGGAATGGTCCGCCCAAGGCGGAGTATGTGCCCAGGATGAACCGGGCGATTCGCGAGTCGGTGGCCCTTGGGTTGCCTGCTAAGTGGGCGGAGGAGGTTATGAGGCCGGCTATTCCGTTGAATTAGTTGGGTTGATATAGAATAGACATAGATGTCTTGCTAGATCTTCTATAATATAAGCATAGCGTATTATTACATTTCATGGTGTCATTGCTATTTCATAGTCTATGCAAAAATGTTGAAGTTCCATGCCACGCCTGATTGACATCGACTCGTGTAAGAAAAAAGTAAACATCAAGTATTTTAACTTTTATAGCCCTGGTGGAGTAAACACGTCAGGTTCGTTTCGGTGCCGTTCCCGGCGGGTGGGAGCTCAATTGCTTGTTCTATCATGCCCCATGTCGACCATCCAGTCGATGCGATCGATTCCGTAGCGATCTCTGGCGAAACCCCGTGGGGTTGCTACCGCAGTGTCTGCGGCATGTTCGACCACTTCCCAGGAGTGGTAGCGAGCGAGCGTGTATGTGTTTTTTCTCTTTTTGTGGGTGCAGTAGTCCGAACAGGTAAGAATGTTTTTCGAATGCATGTTATAGGGTCATTTAAGCCTTGGTCTCCTGGCCAGTAAGAAGAGTGTAGACGGGGGCAGGCAGCTTGTCCCGTCCGTGAAGGAACTCGAGCTCGAGGAGGAAAACGAAGCCCATCAGCTCACCACCCTTGCGGTTGATGAGTTCACCGGCCGCATACGCCGAACCACCTAGTTCAATTGATCAGCAACTATGCTCGCACCTGAAATGTGAAATTAAGAGAAGGGGAAACAGTAAACATACCAGTAGCAATGATGTCGTCCACCACGATCACCTTCTGACCGGGCTTGATCGCATCGGACTGCATCTGGAAGAAGTCCGTGCCGTACTCCTTCTCGTAGCCCTGGGTGTCGCAAGGACCAGGGAGCTTGCCCTGCTTGCGAACGGGGACAAAGCCAGCACCCATGCGCAGGGCCAGGCTAGGTCCCATCAGGAAGCCACGGGCCTCCAGACCAACGATGACATCGGGCTTCTGGCCGCCGTTGCTCTCGAGAATGTGGAGCTCGAGGCAGCGGAGCAGGGATTCGTGCAGAACGGGATCAGCGAAGATCGGGAGGATATCTTCGAACAAGATGCCCGGGGACGGGAAGTCGGGGAACTGGCGCAGGGCCTCACGCAGCTTTACTTTAAGACTGGCGAGTTCGGTGGTGCGGGCGGAAGAGGAGGAGGACTGTCCGGCGACTTGGGCGGCGGTGGTGGCATGAGGAGGTTGCACGGGGGGAGTAGAAGTTGGTTGAGACATGGTGAAAGAGAAGGAGAGGAAGGAAGAGAAAGAAATAAGAGAGACTAAAAAATAGGGGGGGAGGAGTAGAAGGAGGGGAGCAAAAGCAGACCAGGAGGTGAGGGGTGAGGAAGATCGAAAAAGGTAAAAATAGTTGAAATCGGCGTGATAAGCAAAAAAAGAAAAGAAAACGAAAAAGACGAAGGAGGGGAAATGTGAGGGAAAAATGTTCCAAACAGGAAATAAGAAAATTATGGTGAAGATCTGCTGGTATTGACATTACAGTTATCTATCTCTGTGGTATTGTCATATTCCTGTAAGTTTCCCTTCTCCATGACTGTATCATTGCTGGAAGGTGTCACCTTGGAGGGTTGTGTCCCCAACATGTAATTCTGATGGTTATAAAGCTTATGCAAAGTTTAGAAGACATTCAATATTCTAGTCCAACCTTCATGATATCTATTGTAGCCCACATTAGTTACAACGCATTTAGAACCAGTATGACTGGACAGACGACACACCTGCAAGTTCGGGTACTGTATGGAAACGAACCTGCATGGTGGTATGTATGGTAAGCGGCGGAACAGACTTGCCCCTCCTCCTCCATCAATGAAGTCGAGAACCTTTCCTTTCCTTTCTTTGCCAGCATCCAGACTCAAATGGTTATAATCAGCCCATCTGGGAGGGTGTCAGAACGTGAGTCAGTGAGGTGATCCGTTGGCACTGTCATCCATTCATATCCAAAGCATTGTCCGCCTTCTGTTTCAGAGAACAGTCCAATCTCATCCGTGGAGGGAGGGACACCCCCTCCTCCGGGCTGAACTATATCGCGTATAACCGTCTAAAGCCAGTCCAAAGTCGTACTACGCCAATGGCGCCATGATGCAAGTCACTGATTCCAGGTTATGCACCCCTCGCGCTATTCATTACTCTCACTGGTTCACCCGCTCTCTATCGGGCCTTTGCCAGAATTGTCTGCCAGTGGACAGGTCGAGTCAACTGCGCTGGGACCTCGACTTGATACTATCTACTCAATACAACATGCTACTAATCCATTACCTTGTTACCCTACCGTTCTTTCCGCTGCAGCGACTTACGGTGTAAATGTGTGATTACTGCCAGCTGTACCTCTTTTCCCTGCCCAGGTGGGTAGTAGTAAGGCACCTACAAGGTTCCTGAAACAATCCACTGGACAGGGCCTGACTGTTCTGTACTGACCACTGTCTATCGGTGGAGTTAATCACCGCCGGGGATCGTCATGCTGTGCTGGACTGACTCCATCCTTAAGCCGAGCGGATAGCATTTCTGCTTTTCCCCGGCACGGGCAACACTACTACATTATTCACCACCGCCTGATCGTCCCCGCGGTTCGCAATCCCATTCTATAAATAATGCGCTTCATTACGTCCTCACCCGTGGTGTGACATTGGCAGCCCAGGTTTTCTCTGGTCTGAGAGGCCATCAGCATTCACAGCCACAACCACCATCGATCGAAGCACCGGCTTCTAGACCCCGTCCAGGCCACACGTGAAAATACTGGGCCATCCAAATGGAGCTCGGGAGCGATCAAGAACCGGTTGGCCACACCGCTGTGGTCGCTCACGCTAGACGATAAGCCCGGCGATTTGCTGGCTCGACGGACGCGCTAGAGGATTCATCCAGGATAGTCTCCAACTATCGAACTTGGGATGGGCTGGCCCGCCATCCCCTTCCCCCCTCAAGACTCGTAAATTACCGGATCGCCGGTTAATTAGGAGCGCCGCCGCTGACAACTTGGACCTGCAGCATCACCATCTCGCCAATGGTCTTGCAATTATCGGTGGTTGTTTTGGGATAGGCTACCTTCATACTTATCTAGTCTAGTCCTCTCATCGGCCTCCCTTTGAGCATGTTTCAGTCGGGCCCGCTACCTATCAACTCCTCCTCTGCATCACCTTATGTGACAAGTATGCCACAAATCTGATCGGCGCAATTCCCTTCTTCGTTTCCCTTCATCGTTCTAGACTTCACTTATTTTTCCCATACACTCGCGTTCGTGGCACGCTGCCTGCACGAGCATTCTCTTCGGGGTACATGGCTTGATCATTGGGTGCTGTCTTTGGCCAGATTCCTTGAGTTGTTTTGGCTTATTCCAATAACCCCGGCCGTGTCTTAGTGACGAAGCCCTGGTGGCTGACAATCAGCCCGCTACGGAATCGCTCTTTATTGTTGGAATAGGTCCTCCATGCCAGCCGCGTCTGCCTAGGCACGCTGAGGTCCCATTCAACATTGTCCTAGCTAGGTGTACAGGTTTCCTGTTTGGTAGGCGAGGGATGCTAAAGAAGCTCGAGTTCGAGGAGCCCGTTGCTTGCCGGCTGGCTGAATGTTGCGGCGTTTCCGGCGCATCACCCCGGTGGTATACTAGTCTTCATTAGCTCACAGCGCCCTATGGCCCGGGGTTTGGGGGTTACCTAAACCAATATCTGTTGAGGTTCCATTTTCCGAAGTGCAGCGGTTATAACGGCATCCTAGCACACGCTTCAATGCTTCGCCCAACAGATTCGAAGTAGTTCATGCTGATGAGCTGCCTCTGATCTCATTGGAACTAAAATCCGTGGCTGCCGTATAAATTGGAGTCTCTTGGTAGGCGACAAGGTTGCTGTCACTGGCCCGTTCCGCGGAAGAGATGCAATTGACGGCCGGACCTGTCCCTGATAATTCGGCGCGTTAACTTGGAAGACATGGGCAGAGGATTCGCCATACCTACTTCACTTTCGGAGTATATGCAAGCTAGTGTATCCACCATAGGCAACTAAGATAGCTCGGCGATTGGTCTCAACCGATAAACAAATTATGAGGTCAAATTGAAGCTTATTATGTGCTCACACGGCACCCCGACCCGTCTCGACGACCGATACGACCCAACGCGCACGTTCCTTACCAATCCAGGTACCATCAATTGGACTCCACCAGGCTTATCCCAATCGCATATCCGAGGAAGTCCGGAACTTCTGGTGCATGTGTGCTGTGCAATCGCTGCGTCGATATTGGTCCTGGATGGCCTCGTGCCCCATGGTCTGTCTCTTTTCCCACCCCGCGGCGCAAAAGCATCGTTCCTCAGCGTGTGTCTTCTAGAACTTCTGGAAGACTTCTGTGGTATGACAATAATACAGTAGTCGTACTGTTGTGATCCAGGAATATGTACCAGGACCCCGGATGGTACACCTATTTTACGCCCTCCTTCCCGGGAGCTACGTGAGAAGCAGTCATTTACGTAGGTGGACGGCGGGTAGGTACTCTGCAGCCAAAGGTGCGGCAGCATTATGCATGCTACTAATGCATGGCGCAGACACGCCATGTACGCACGGATAGCTGGCCGTCTTGTGGTCAGGGTTTCCTGACCAGTCCGGGCCGCAACAGGCGGTCCAGAATTGCACCCTACGGCGAGATCGTCGCGTTTCGCGCATCCTCGTGTGCGTTGCGCCAGAGCGCAGCGGAGTACATGCTGCATATTGGATAACATGAAGAGCTGTAGGGACGGGGTTGTGCGGAATTCCCGATGAGGACATCCCACCGCATCACCGATGTGTGTGCACTGGGCGCTTCAGGCCGAGGTCCAAAGTAGTACTGTAGCGGGGGGGGTAGGGTAGTGAGAGATACATGGCCAATAGTCATGCATAATCTTGGACCTATCAAGGCAGTGGTTGGTATGTAGAATCTGTCAGTGTTTGTTGGCGGCTGATACAGGAGCATCAATATGGGGAGAGGGAGAAGAAAGAAGGTGGGTATCAAGAAAAAAAAAAATACCAAAAAGGAAAAGCCCAACGCGGGGCTCGAACCCGCAGCCTTGAGATTAAGAGTCTCACGCTCTACCGATTGAGCTAGCCGGGCTATGCTCGTTGAATGCCGGCGCACAATACGGGTCTATATTCTTGAGAAACCGATACGAAGCATCCTCGCATCAATCTCCCTTCCAACGAATTCAATTTCGATACCGCAATGCCTAAACAGCCTTCTTTCGCTACTACACATTTATTGAGACGGAGTTCCTAGCTCTTATAAATCTACTGGATCAGAAATGATGCACATAGTACTCCTAGGCCACAACAATGGGATATGAATGTCTCCTTGGTTGACGATATATATTGTAGTAACTCAGTATGTAGTACTATAGTGGCAACGGGCCGTTTAATTAACATGCCCTACCACACCCTGCCTCAAGTATGATGGCCTGGCAATGATTTACCACCCAGTCCCTGGTGCAAACAGACCTAGCACACGTTCGCGAACTACCAGGTAGGATTGCAAGCCAAAGTAGACGCAGGCCAACACGACTATAATTGCCACACGACCTACGAGCATGCTACGACTGAAGTACCGGATAGCAGCGGTCAACTTTTGGTAGAATTCCCAGCCAATCGCCAGTATATTCATGACCGTCATAGACAAATGCCATTGATACCGGAACGAACAGCGAGTTACATCCGACAATGCCTGCAATCGGGCCAGCCCGCGAGCGAGACCCGCCAAATGCATGCCTGATGTCACACCACCAGCTAACTATCTCTTCTGTACTTGATCTGCCCAACCTTATGTTATTCTAAACTACTCGCAGCTAAACTACTACACCTCGCCCCTCGATATCCTCACAGACAAGTCATCCAAATCCATTGCAGCATCAACCGCCACTACGGCGTACAGATAACGGAGGTATCTGGGTTGTTCCCAAAACAGCACACATCACGTGGCAAAGCACGGGCCAACTCGCTTAGCTTTCCGCCTATTTATTTCGGCTTGAGGCTATTTTGCTCCTCTGGCTCACTCGCCCTTTGATGTTCTCATTGCGCACTTCTGCTCAGTGCAGAAGTGCCCTGCCAGACCATCTGATGTACAGATATCTATCACACTGTAACACCTAACCTTGACTCATGATGTCTCCTGCACCCATCGCTGCAGAAATGCAGCAAGACCAGCGGCTGGAAACCCTGGCCAGAGCTTTCGAAGCTCTGTTGCTCACCACCCAACAACTCAGCTGCAGGGAGAAGAGCTTGCAGCAAAGGCTGAAATATGCCTCCGACGAGGTAAATATCCCATCCATCCAGTTTTCATCCCCTCCCCACCCATCTTGCTGTCTCAAAGGACGAGAAAAATCGATTAGCTCTAGATCAGGAGTCGCATCTGCGGCGGTGACCGATTAAGTCATGTATTATCTGATGAGACTTTACACACTTGCACTGTTTTACGCATATCTATCTATATTTGAATGCATATGCTAACATGCTCTCAGTATTTGAAACTCGCAGGAAAGCTCCCCGGTGGAGTTGACGGTCATACGAAAGTCGTCGCGGATAAGATGCTCGGTCGTTATGCCGAATACGATCACAATCCCAAACCAAACATAAAACCTCCGGACGTAGTAAAGGCGCTGGCCGAGTCTGGAAACGTAGGAGATCTTGCCCTGACCGCTATAACGGAAGGGCTGACATGTTACCAATCTATCATACCACCACATGAGTCCAGGCAGCTCTCGGAGTTCGACTCCTGTCTTGTGGCGACGAGAGCCGGAGTGCCTGCTCCCCTAGAAAAAGACTTCACTACCAAGGGCACGCAGGGAAGTTTGCGTTGTCCTTTTGCGAAGCATAACAATAAGACCTCTGAAAATGGGGTGTCCAATGGGACGCACAGTCCATTAAAGGACCAGAACGGGGATGCGTGCGGACATGCCGATCTAGACCCCATCAAGGCCGAGCAGAGTGATAGACGCTCGAGTCGGGCCCCTTCGACGCGGTCCTCGGCCACTCGCTGCCCGGTTTCTCGCTGTCCCATAAGGTATCTAGACCAACATAGTCCGGAGGAGATTGCCGACTATGTTGAGAGGCACAAGCATGAGATCCCTAGAAGCCATGCTATCTGTGTCCAACGGTACCAGCGGGACGGGCAGACCATGCGGCAGCTGGATGCAAAGTACGGTAGCCTTATCAATATGATCCAAGGCTTGTCTGCCAAACATAAAGCATTCCTACCAGAGCCGAGTCAAAATGGCACGGCACCCTCTAGCTCGTCTGCGGAAAGGGTGGAGAAATGGGCACAGGAAGTTGACATGAAGTCGGACATGCATCCTCCCATCAAAGAAGAGCAGGAGGAAGAGGCGGCGGCCGAACAAGAGGATGAAGAGCGAAAGGGCCATTTCGACCGTCCCTTGCGTGAAATCCGTGTCGGCGAATCCCCAAGCCGGCCCTGGGGGATCCCTGTTCCGGTGTCGCCTCTACCTCCAACCGCATCACCCCCTCAATCCCCTCCGCCTGCACCGGTTGCAACCTCAATTGATGCAGTAACCAGCAAGGTTCCCAATGCCGCGCCTGCAGGCCCGTCCTCTATGCCGCCGCCTGGTCACACAGCTCCGGCTCCTCCCGCTAACGCGCCCAAGAAGGGCGGGTGTCCCTTCGGACATGGTGCGCCCTCCGGTGACAAACCACCAGCCAAGATGGAGACCATTCCCACGCCTGTTAAAGTGGATAAGGCAGACGAACCTGCCGAGAAGAAGAATGGCGAACTGCCCGGTGAAACCCCCAGTCCGTCCAATAAACCAGCAGCCAATATTGTGTTCAACGGGCCTGTCTTCTTTGGGTTTTCCGCAGAGCAGACAGCTGCGTTCATGCAGCAGTTGAGCAACCTGGGGGCGAAGGGGCTAGCCTAGAAGTTGGCTGACTGGATGACATGATTTGATTGTTTCTGGCATACACATTTGCATTGATATCCCCACCTGTTGCTTGTATACTGTATCACGATGCTATGACTCCCGCCTGCTTATGATGAACCATACCCTCCATCTTTGAATTATGAGTACCGCACTGCCATTCCGTTCAAATTCCCATGTCAATACTAGCCTGATAATAATATTCTATTGTACAGCTCCACCCGAATACGTAGATAGATAGATAGATATACGTAGATGAATCCGAGAGTTCACCGGCCATAGCTCCACCGATGTCGGGCGGGGCGGGCCTGGATTGGTGACTTTTCCGCGGAAACATCTGGTAACCTTCAATTAGCATCTCTCCATTTCCCCCATCTCTTCCCCTCATGTTCTCCGCTACCTCTCGAGTTCTTTTCTCCCGTCTCAGTACTTCCTCTCGTCTCATCTCCTCCCCTCTTCACTCTTCTCTCCCCATCTCTCGTCTCCCATCTCGCATCCCATACCAATTCGTCACCATGTCCACCGGTCTTGACATCGTTCACACTGCTGGCGCCGCCCAGCGTAAGTGCTTCCCCCTCTCCTCTACTACGTTATCATTGCTTGAGACGCAGTAGCATTCATTTCCCTGGTATTCTCATCCCAGAGAGAAAGGATACCTTCCAAGAAATAACCCCCACCATAACAATCCTCAAGAGAACCCAAGCTAACAGCAATTGAACCCAACTATAGCCGTCGGCCCCTACGTAAGAGAAATCCAAACCCCGCCGCCATCCATACCTTCCCCTCCTTCCCCCACCAGCCACCAATACCACCACAACAGCAATACTAACCTTATCAAAAGTCCCAAGCCATCAAGGTCAACGGCCAGATCTTCCTCTCCGGTCAAATCCCCCTCACCAAGGACGGCGTCCTGATTGAGGGTTCCGTCACCGAGAAGACCCGTCTCTGCTGCGAGAACATCAAGGCCGTTGTCGAGGAGGCTGGCTCTAGCGTGGAGAAGATCTTCAAGGTTACGGTGCGTATTATATACCCTTCCTTCACCTTCCCCCAGAAAGGAACGAAGAGGGGGATGGATGGATATAGGGCTGAGCTAATGTTTTGGGATGTTATCGGAATATAGGTCCTCCTCGCTGATATGGCCGACTTCGATGAGATGAACAAGGAATACGCCAGGTTCTTTGCTCACAAGCCGGCTCGCTCTTGCTTTGCTGTTAAGCAGCTGCCTAAGGGTGTCCCTGTTGAGATTGAGTGTATTGCTCTTGCTTAGAAAGGTTCTCTCTATTATATAGCTGAGTGAGTGTATATGAATGAGATTGAAGTCTAAGTATCTAGGTGCTAGGTTTGTAGTGCACAGAACGTATCGGTGATTTACTAATCGATGGCTACTTCGGATGTCTTGCCGGACCCGGGATCATCTACCTGCTTACCATGGACAAATTGTTGATAAGATCTCTTTCTATTCCAATCCTGGCCTACGATGTCATGAATCGGTCATGGCTGCTGAATTAAACGATTATGCTATTGTAAGACCACGCAACTTCCCAATCAACGATCAACCCGTAGGCTCAACGCTCCCTAAAGTGCAAACAAACTAGATTTGGGAATCATCACGTCCATATCAAAGAGTAAAGAAAAAGAGAAGTAAGAGAAAACAAGGCCAAACAATGCCGCGTCATGCTGAATCGCAAGGTGAAAAAAAAGTCAACAAGTACGTAGAAGAACGCCGCGAATGTTGGTCTCGTACTACCTTCATCGCCGCCCCAGCGTTCCCGTCATCCTTCCCCCAGCCCCTGCCATTAGACTCTGCTTCACAATGGCATCTGCAGCTGCGGCTGCCGCTAGTCGCTCCTTTTGCCGGCTGCGATCACGCAGATAGCCCGCAGCTTCGGGGCGCATCCGCAAGATTCGCAGGATCATATCGTCATTCGGCTCGGCTTGCGCCTCGCGCCATTTCTCCTCTTTCATCTTCTTCATTGTGCCGAGGTTGCGCGAGAGCATGATACTCTTGGCACGACGTGCGCTGGGGACACCCAACATGCTGCTAGACCCTGCGGCACCCAGATGTGGTGGCGCCGAGGTCCGGTTCTTGTTGGCCTGCTGACGAGAGATCGTCGCAGAGGCCATCCGCTCAGAGGTGCGGATCAGTTGTTCAGTAGGCTCAAAATAGAAGAAGTTCAAGGTCTGGATCTCGTGGTATTTGGGTGATTTCAAGATATCGATGGAAACGCCGTTGGCTTCACCCGTTTCTTCATCAATGGCGTGGAAGAAGTTCAGCAGGAGGACGAGCCAGCGTGAGACTACATCCACCTCTTGCATCGTGAGGGGCTTCTGGTGAGAGGGCTTGTCGGACAATGGAGGAACAAGCAAGCTTTCGATCGTAGCCAGCACTTCCTTCCATAGACGTGCCATGACCATCTTCATGGCTTCCGAGGTGAGGGTCTTGTTCATAATGGCAAAGTTGTCATTGAAGTAGTCAAAGAGGGGAGTCAGAGCATTCTCCACGTCTGCGTTCGACGGGGTGGCGGTGGTGGATTGCGCTCGATTGCGGTTCAAGAAGTTGGATACGCTTGAAATACTGAGTCCGCGCGACAGCAATGATTTCAGCGTCCGACGCGATAGACAGTGACTAATGTATGCGGAAAGCTGCAAAGTCAATGTTAGCAACAGCTTGAGAGGTACTCCGGCGGCTCTGCTATCTTACCTTTTCTGTGATCTTGCGAGTCATGTCCCTCTCCGTCCGCTTCAACGTCCGGAACGCTTTGCCAAAATAGAACTGGATATCGTCGCGTTCTCCCTCCATGCTCACGCGAAGTAGCAGTCGGCCTTGCGTATCCAAGTCAAGCCAATACTCCCTTGGCAGGAAGTCGCTGAAGTGGACCGGATCGAGCTTGATAGAAGTCCGACCCACATAGTCATGGTCTCCGACTGCATCCCAATCCCAAATGGTGGCGATAATGTTGACTGGGCCTTGCGTAGTGATATCAACAGCATCGTCCCATCGTGGATTGAGATTGTTATAGATGATGCGGGTTTTGGCTATACGTTTCTGATACTCGTCGGCCAGCACGACGTAGGGATCACTTCCTCCGTTCATGTCGCACGCCTTCAAATCTTCTGCTTCGACCACCTTGACGGTGAAAACATATGTCGTAGACTTGCGAATCTTCTGAAGTTGAGGCTGAGCATGTCTTGCGATAACCTCTGCACAGCCATCCACATTGACCTCGTTTTCCAGCTTGTCGAGCTGCGACAGGGCATATTCGACGTTATTCAGCTTGACCAGAGACTGGAACTCCTCATTAGCCAGGTAGACATCATGCCTCAATGAACGAACGTACCTCGGGAAAGAACTGAAAGGGTTCGATCTTTTCTTTGCTCGTCCATGCTTCCTTGGCCAACTGCATTATCCTCTCTTGAGCGGTTTGATTCATAGCCGCCTCCTGATCGGGAGAAAGCCGATCCATCTCTTTAGCGAACATCTGCTCCAAGGATTCGCAATATCTTGCCACTCCGCTCCCAATAGACCTGGACAGGGCCGTCATAAACTTGGCGTACTGGAAATCATCGTCCCATTCAAGGGAGATCATCTGCTCTACGACCTGGTTAAAGGAGCGGAAAATGTCAATCACAGACACACTGTGTCGATTCTCCTCCGGAACCACTTCCATCGTTCCGTCGTCTCGAACGGCAAAAGCGTCTTGTCTGACTGCCTGTTCAACCCAGTCTGCAACCTTCTTATCGGTCAAGCGAATCCACCGCCAGACGAACTCCTCCATTAGGCCTTCAATGTGGAACGGAAAGGGAACACTGCACGCGCAGTTAGCATCGATGCGCCGCAGAATGGTCATTGGTAGAGTGAACTTACTCAGGAAGGGCCTCCGTGAAAAGACGACGCACGTCCGCTAATTGCTTATACAAATCGAATCCATCTTCAATGTTGGTTTCCTCACCTCTCACTTTCTCCATCTCAATAATTCTGACCACCATCTCGTGGGCATCCTCGGAGAATATTGGGAGGACGTTGGAAAGCAATATCAGATACGGGTTGACCCTATAATTCAGTGAGCAAGCAGAATTTAATGTGCCTGGTTTGGAGGTGTGCTTACCCCATAATCTCTGGATTCTTCCGGTAACGCTTTTTGATCTTCTGCGCAAGTTTGGTGATGGCATCGCAGAGCTGGATAACATGGTCGAGCTCCCAGGATTCCGGCTGGACTGGGATCAGCTGCCCCAGAAGCTCTTGATACTTCTCGGTTGCTTTCTGTGCGAGCCCATCCTGCACGTATGAGCGGAAACGCTCGATGTCCTCCAAATCTTCGGTGTAGTTGGGATCCATTTCGATATGGTTCTCCAGTACGTACATCACCGGACCGATGGGTCGAGGTTTTCCTTCATAGCAGTCCATCATCACATCATACAATTCACGCAGAAGAGCTTCGTGAAGAGAGGAGAGTATCTGCTGCATCAGAAGAAGGTCATGAATTGTCCACCTGTGCCTCTCATAAAGAACAGAAGCGATAAAGCTACTGCGCCTCCTGCCCTCCGCAGAAGGGGATTCTTTCACGAAAGTGAAAGCCGAATCGAGTGTATTGAGATCAATTTCGTTATCCACAAATTTGGACCGGACAACATCCAGAAACAAAACTATCCTGGAGAAATTCGGAATCCGCCACCGAAGACAGACCTCGTTAAGGAATTCCGACGACTGTTTGGAAAATAGCTTCATTGAAGGGACCTCGGATGTTGCCTGTGTTGCCTCAATATCGCGGTCTTTCAGGTCATGGCTCAGGGTCTGAGCTAATATAAACTTGTACATAGATCGGGGATCCTGAGGTATGTATGTATACGTATCGGACTCATCCGAAGGCTCGCCGTCATCACCTAAAGATAAAGAGCTGAGATCCAGCGACTGATCTATGACATACGACGATGGCCTATCGGAGTTCGTCCTTGACAGTTCCCCCGCCGGATCCTGGTCACTACCATTTGGGTTAAATTGTGGAAGCGCACCCCCCGGGGTGCTTTTGGCGAGTTCCGGGTTCGACTGCACAATGGCAAGCATCATCTGAGACAGATCAGGACCTTCATTCTTCTTCCAGAGTTCATACGCATCCTCATTCTCGAAGTCTTCCTGAGACAATGTTTTCCGAGTCTTGAGGTTTAGGTGAGCCTGGTAGGCTTTCAGGTCTTGAAGGGCCGCCTTCCCGGTCCAGATCCCTTTATTCTTATCTATGTCTGCCTGAACCTGGCTCAAGTCAACGTCAAAAATCCTTGACACATGCTGCACAAGTGGCATGTCCTTGACATCGTGACTTATGGGAGCAACAACTTCCACAGTAGTAGAGCCGTTGGTCTGCACGAGATCTTGATCCTGGGAGAGTAGTTTGTTTTCCAAGACCGACAACCGATTTGCCAGTTCAGGTCGCTCCTTAGCCCAGTCGTGATCCTTCAGGATAAGCGCAAACAAGCGAACGAAAAGCGCCACGTGTCTGTCTACCATAAGCTTCCAGTGGTCATCTTCGGGATCCTTTCCTTTGCTCAGTTCCTTGGTGGCATTGGAGTAGAAGATGAGGACGAGGTCTTCCGCCCGCCGGTCCTTCTCCATGCGCTTTTTGAACGATTGGTCCTTCAAAGTATTGAGAAATGCAGCGAATGTCCTCACGACCAGCGTATCTTGATATTCCTTCCGCTTCTCTTTCCCAATCAGGACACCTGTCAGCCTCTTCTCCAGCTCCGCGATGAACCCATGGGGGATGCGAGTGCTTTTTGAGTCCCGCACCAGGGAGAAATCGCTCATCAGATCATGAAACGAGGTGGAGGCCCTCTTGGGTTTCTGAGGGACCGGTACATTTTGTACACGACGCGAGCGAGGCTGCAGGAGATGGGCGAGGTAGGCTACCCGGAGAGCATAGTTGTAGGCAGTCGAGGAGTTGACGGGGCGCCTACGAGACCCTGAGAGACTGCGCGAATGGCGGGATTCATTCTGAATGCTGTTAATCCGTCGGTTAACGCCTCGGGAATGAGTAGATGCCGTCGACATGAGCGGGGAGTTAGCAACTCAGAGTTCTATCCAAGTCTTGCTGTGTTTTGAGTTTCGGGGGTGATATTGCGAGGGGAGTTAGGTGCGGCGGGCGGGACCATGGATGGATAAGAAGGGAGTCGCTCGCGATCAAACCACCAGCATCAGCTGGGGGAGAATAAAGGGAAATACCACGCAGGAGAGCCTTGTCAAGTGATCTCAATTCCTAGAACCGAGGAAGCGAGTCCAGACTGCGTTGTGGAAAGGTCTGGAGAATGTTGGCGGCTAGAGAGACCAGGTTAGAAAGGGGTGGGTGTGGATGTTGTTGGTGGTGGTTGGCCTGGCTCTGCGGCATCTGAAACAGAAAAAAGCTCCCGAGTCGACTGACGTAGTAGGCGTGGGTTTTGAGTCGCACCATCACCAACCGCCGAACCCCTGTTCCAGAGAATGGAAATATTTGACCCATCTGAGACATGCACCCAGGGAGTTATTCAGACATTTCTACCTCTTGCATTCCATACCCGTAGGCATGCTATGACTACTTTCGCGATCCTGACCGCTTAATCTACATCCCACCGGCCAACTGGATAATCGGACATCCGCTACAGAGAGATCGTGCTGCAGCATGGTGTAGCAGTGCCATCACTTAATGTAAATTCAGTCTCATGCCCTTCTTTTCGCTCACTGTATTCTCACTTGTTCTCGCTCCCAATTGCCCATCTGAACCCTTGCACCCATGTCGTAGCGGTTCTTGCAGGTATATTGCACTCGGACTCGACATTCTACTTCTTTCATAGGTGGAAATGCGGCGCAAAAGATTGCCAATAGGATCGTAACCCGGAGAATAATTCCGCGAATCTGATCGCCGGGGATAGCCCTTCCCACAAGCACCAATTCGAATAACCCATATCCATGGACGCCGATAGGAAAAGAACTCGTATTGTATTTATTTACACACCGTGCAGAGAAAAGCGCAATCACCAGCTAGCCTCGTCGGACTTGCGGGCCTATATCTCATTCGTTAGCACAGAGCCGAGCTAAAGGTCCATAGGATATATCATTGACGCACCGGAGCAGCACCCGGACCACCGAGCTCCTTCTCCAAGCCATCGGGATAGGTCTTGGGAACACTGGGCTTGTCGGGGTAGAACATGCTGACGATACCGCAGAGTCCGAGGAAGGTTACGACGAAGGCTCCGACCTGGAGGAGACCTTTGCGAGCCGTGACGTGGGTATATTGTTCGGGACTGAAGACACCGAGAATTTCGTTCTCCTCGTGAACGGGCTCGCCAAAGTTCCGTCTCTCCTGCTTGTCCCACCAATCGCCGTAGGGGTCTCTGAAGGCGCGCTTAACACGGGGAGGGTTCTGGTAGTTGTTGTTCTGTAGGCCGAAACCGAGCGGTGTCAATCAACCAAGGCAGTAAGCAATTGGAGTTCCTAGTGCACATCCTACCTGCAAAGGGTCGTCCACCTCCGCAGCTTTGAGACTCCGGACCTGTGAGAATGAGGCGCGAGGCACGGTGTAGCGGGCGGCCACCTGAGGCAGGCGGCGGGCCAAGATTCGTTGGGACAGCATCTGGCAATCGCGGTTAGCAATAGGGTCAATGCAGCGAAGAACCAAAGAGGGGAGGAATAGGGAGGGCTTGGGAATACTGACTGTTTCCTGCTGTAGAGAATTGGGGGGGAATTGAGGGGAGGTGAAGTCAAGGGATGTGACCGGAAGGCTCAGACGGCCATGGGATGAAGTGCAAACGACTCGATGACGGGATTTGGGAGATTGTGATTGGCTGGAGAGGCTTGTTCTGCCTGAGGCGACAAGGTAGCAATGGACGGTACGGTAAACTTTCAGTACCAAACATTATCAATAATACCCAATGAAATTCCCGTCCAGCTCGGTATTGGATCCTGAAGTTCATGGCAGCAACTGCTTACATACACGGCTTCCCCCCCCGTACTTGCAGCGTCACTGTATGAATGAAAAAACCACCTCTCCACGCAATCTTGCCATCCCCGTGGTTTTTCGTCCACCCGTCACGCCCTCGTGCCGATAACTATGCCAAATTTCTGGTGGCATACTGACTCACTTACCGCTACCCGTTGATGCCATTTTCGCCTCATTTGACCGCGTCCTCGTTGGGAAAACTGGGGTCAGCTGTGCACAGGGCCCCTGTCTCCGTGGTTACAAGACATGCAAAACGGCAGCCCGAACGGAATCTCCCATCAAGATGAACGCGTGACCCCCAACCTCGAGGGCCCTCCGACCGACCTGCCTGCGTCTGAGCCTCCGACCGAGTCGCTGAGCCGGGATTCGATATCTGCCGACCTAAAAGAAGAAGACGGTAACACGACCGCAGTTGACCAGCTCGAAGAACCTCCTTCCAAAAAGCGAAAGCTCGCCGGTCCTTCCTCCGCTCGTCGCTCAACCTCCCGTCCAGCATCTCCCCCGTGGAAAAAGGCCGGCGTCGATGGTCCGACATCATTCATCCAAGATGGGAGGCGTAAGTCCTCTCGCGTTAACGCGATCCCGCTCCAGTTGCAAAGCCCATCCGAGAAGAGGAGCACGCGCGGCGCTCAGAATAAGGTCATAGGTCGGAATGTCTCCGGTGCTACGAAGGGGGTCGCGTCGTCTCCGTTGTCGATGTCCCCGCCTCAGCCGGAGCCAAATGGGAGGTTGGCTGGTGGCAGCGCCGCAGTCAATGGTTCCCCAAGGAACGCGACCACAAGAGGGTCGGCCAGCAGGCGCCACCAGATCTCTCAGTCACCAGCTCCCAAGCAACCTCACACGCGGACACGATCTTACAGCTCCGGCACGGCGCGTCGAGCGTCGAATATCGGCACCGCTAGCTCCACTCGCTCGCATCGCTCCTCTATGAACAACGTTTCGACGACCATGGCGGAAACCGGTGATGCCGACTATGACAATGCAGATGACGATGATGAATATGGCCAGCGGGCTCCACGGCTACGGATCAAAGTTAAAAGACCACCCATCGGTATCCAGCATCCAGGTCACGTTCTAGCTCCGCGGAAGTATGGCTCGTTCAAGGAATGGTTGGAGAGTGACGACGGGCGAATAAGGGATCCATCTGTGCTCACACCAGCTGACGCACTCGAGGAGGCTCTAAAGAGGCGCCGAATAGCTGTGGCAGCTGAACCGGGCGGACTGTTGAGTCCAGATGTTTGTTCTGCATACCTGCCCGAGCAACAAGAGGAACCGCCCCAGCAGTACTCCCACCAAGACCATTTGGTCGCGCACGCTCTGTACTTTAAGAAGCTTCTCGACCAGGAACACAGGCGTCATCGAAATACTGCCAAGCTATTCGCTCAGTGGTGCGCGGACGCGTGGAGGAAGCGCAATAAGGATCCGGAGGACATTCTCCGGGAACAGCAGGAAGAGATGCGTGGGAAGCGCAAACAGCTGGCCAAGGATCTTCAGAAAATGTTCGACCTTGCGCGAGCGGAGGTGGACCAGATGCGCCTGGCACGCTGGGAGGAGGAGCGGAAGGCTGAAGATCAGCAAGCTCTGGACCGTGCTATCAAGCAATCCACAATGCTTTTCGAGAAAAGACGCATGGAGATTCTCGGTGAAGGTGGGAGTGACGCACCCGATACCAGTGATGCCGAGCAGGAGGACTCGGATGAGTTATCGGACGGTTCGGAAGATGAAGACAATATGTCGTCGACCGATTCAGAAAGTGAAGATGAGAATAATGTAGATGATGATGAAGGCTTGACGGCAGAGGAACTGCGGTTGAAATACGCTAATTTACCCAACACCAACAATGTTTCTGACCACGAGTCGGTCTCTGATGCTACAGCATTTTCCGACGAGAGTGACACCTCAGACATTGATCGTTCTGTGGACCGTGCTACTGCGTCCCTCGACCCATCGGCAGAGGGGCAACCCGAGCTTGAAGATGTGGATCCCGTGCTTCTGGACGACAGTGAAGATGAGTCCACTGATATGGATGATGATATGGGCGACACCGATGAGGATGAATCTGATGAAGTCGACTCCGACGCAGAGAGTGATGGTCCCGGGCTATTAGGCTTCTTCTCTTCCAAAGACATAGCAACGAATTATGGCGGTTCACAGAGCGATGCTGATGGCGGGGATGATGCCATTATTAACGACTTGGATACCAAACTAGCATCGGCTGGAGAGGATGGGGAGGAGGAGGAAGAGGAACCGGAAGATCCTGATGAAGTCTCCCTTGTGCCTAACGGACCGGCGTTGGAAATGTCGATGCTCCAAGATGAAGAGGAAGCCGTTTCCGCGCCCGAGCCTGATCCATCTCCGGCGTCCCCTTCTGCCCGCGACTCAGCTGTTCATCTAACTGCCGATGCTGAGCCCAAGTCTGCTGTTGATTCTGCGTCAGAACTTACTCCCGCACCTACCCCCGCCGCGGACAAGACACCTGATGTTGAAATGACAGATGTCAGTTACAACGAGGACACAGTTCTGCCCGACGCATCTGATGCGGTGGTTGAGACTAACCCGCCTGAAGAGCATGAACACGCCCACCACGAAGCCTACCAAAGCGGCGAGCCCTCAAGTGAAGCATCACCAGGCACGCTTGTCACCAAACCATCGGAGCCCGAATCCATCTCCTCGTACGAAACACCGGAGAAACACGCACCGCCCAGCGAATCCCCTGCTCCTGGGTTGAAGACGCCGGTGCCGCATCTTCTCCGAGGCACTTTGCGGGAGTACCAACATTTCGGCCTGGATTGGCTTGCTGGCCTGTATACAAACCACATCAATGGCATCCTGGCAGATGAAATGGGTCTTGGTAAAACAATCCAAACGATAGCGCTGTTGGCGCACTTAGCCGTGGAGCACGAGGTTTGGGGGCCGCACTTGGTCGTCGTGCCTACTAGTGTGATTCTCAACTGGGAGATGGAGTTTAAGAAGTGGTGCCCCGGATTCAAAATCATGACCTATTACGGAAACCAGGAGGAGCGTCGACAGAAGCGAAAGGGCTGGATGGATGATACTAGCTGGAATGTGTTGATCACCTCTTACCAACTAGTCCTCCAGGATCAGCAAGTGCTGAAAAGAAGAAGCTGGCACTATATGATTCTTGACGAAGCACACAACATCAAGAACTTCCGCTCGCAAAGGTGGCAGGCACTGCTCACTTTCAGAACACGAGCCCGACTCTTGCTAACCGGCACACCGCTTCAAAACAATTTGACTGAACTATGGTCGTTGCTATTCTTCTTGATGCCCTCCGATGGTGATGAAGAAGGAATTGAAGGTTTCGCTGATCTCAGGAACTTCTCGGAATGGTTCCGACGCCCCGTGGAACAGATCTTGGAGCATGGCAGAGAGACAATGGATGATGAAGCGAAGCGAGTGGTCACTAAGCTTCACACTGTACTCCGACCTTATATTCTGCGTCGTCTCAAAGCAGATGTGGAGAAGCAGATGCCGGCGAAGTACGAGCATGTCGTTTATTGCAGACTCTCAAAGCGGCAACGATTCCTCTATGATGGCTTTATGTCTCGCGCACAGACCAAGGAAACGCTTGCGTCGGGGAATTACCTATCCATCATCAACTGTTTGATGCAACTACGGAAGGTCTGCAATCATCCCGATCTCTTCGAAACTCGGCCCATATCTACGTCTTTCGCCATGTCTCGCTCTGTGGTCACGGAATACGAGATCAAAGATCTTCTCGTCCGTCGGCGATTATTGTATGAGCATCCACTCACTAAGCTCGACCTTGATTTCCTCAACCTAGTGCCCATATCCCGAGAAGATATTTCTCGACGGTTGGCCGATGACAGTATCCGTCTTATGGCTTATGGTCCCTTCAACACGCTCAGGGAACGCCAGTATCACCGTACCAACTGGCAGATGAGCTTCGATGGTAGCACGGTGCAGTCTACGCTAGACGCTCTGGAGAATGAGTCCAGGAAAAGGAGGATGGCAGAGCTGGAGAGATGTCTCTACTTTGAGTCTAAGCGCCATGGTCGTCGCCCGGTGTACGGATCAAGTCTTATCGAATTCCTCACGGCCGACAGTAAGCAGCAGCCTACCGCCAACGGGCCGCTGCGAAAACGCTCCTTAGCTGACTGGTTGTCGAGCCAGTCGTCCGTCCTGGCATCGATGATCTTGTCCATTGAAGAACGGTCCCAAGCAATGGACGGATATGTTCAGAGATTTGCTTGCGTCACCCCTGCTGCTGTGGCGACTGGTATCACCGAGGCCGCACTGACTCCCATAGAGACGAGGTATCTCACGAAGAAGGAACGGTTCCCGCCATACGACCCTTTTCACGAAGCACAGATGCGTCTTTCGATCGCATTCCCCGACAAGAGACTTTTGCAGTACGACTGCGGCAAGTTGCAAAGACTCGATAAATTGCTTCGGGACCTCAAAGCGGGTGGCCATCGGGCTTTGATCTTCACCCAGATGACCAAGATGCTCGATATTTTAGAACAATTCCTTAACATTCACGGACACCGGTACCTCCGACTAGACGGTACTACCAAGGTTGAGCAGCGTCAGATCCTTACCGATCGGTTCAACAATGACAACCGTATCCTTGCATTCATCCTGTCCAGTCGTTCTGGTGGTCTAGGTATCAACCTCACAGGTGCTGACACCGTCATATTCTACGATCTGGACTGGAACCCCGCGATGGACAAGCAGTGCCAAGATCGTTGCCACCGTATCGGGCAAACACGCGACGTGCACATCTACCGATTCGTTTCTGAATATACCATCGAATCGAACATCCTCCGCAAAGCTAACCAGAAGCGCATGCTTGACGACGTCGTTATCCAAGAGGGAGAGTTTACAACGGACTACTTCACTAAACTAGACGTCCGCGATATGATCGACACGGAAGATGTCCTCGAAGGCCACGACGAAGCCAGCGCAGCCATGGATCGGGTCCTCGAGAATCGTGTCGCAGCCAGTGCACGTGTCTTCGAACAAGCCGAAGACAAAGAAGACATTGATGCTGCCAAGAATGCCCAAAAGGAATTGGAGCACGCGGACGACGGCGACTTCGACGACCGCACACCTGGCCAAACCCAGGCCGGCACACCACTGGCGACAGGGCCCACGACGGGGCCCGATGAATCAACAACAGCGGGCACTACTCCCGGTCCGCAATTGCTCACCTCCCCGCAGGTGCATGCGGTTGACGAACCTGTTGACGTCGAGATCCAACCTGGCCATATCGATAATTACCTATTACGGTTTATGGAGTGGAATATGAAGGACGAACCACTTGTCTTACCGGCAGATAAGAGCAAGAAGAAGTCCAAGAAAGGCAAGGAGCATCGGCTCCGTAAAAGGCGTCGTTGATATGAATAAATGGAACAAGACAGAATTCATGCGGCACGCGATTGGAATGGATTGAATCGGTGGAATGAATGTATTGAGAGGCTAACGAATGGACGATCGATCAGGACTGTTCGACGTCTCTATGTAATTGTATTCGCATGATGATATTTTCCTCTGCTTGAAATCTCTCTTCTTTATATATTTCCTTGCCCCTGGGTTTAATTTTCTTCTATCTGTCCAGTGCACGCATTGGGATTACTACCTTATTTACTTTTCTTTTTCTCCCTTCTATTTTCTTTTTCCCTCTTACACCTCGATAGTACAAGGTGATGGAAAGAATCATTCGACTGATGATTAGCGGGCGTTTTGCTTTGAGGAAGTATGTCTGGTGACGATAAAATCACCGTTCTACCTATCCTATTTTCCAGAAAGACCCAAAATGAATACTTTGTACATGCTAATACTATTCTTCTCTCCTTACCCCAATCCCTTCTCCTACCTATTAAAAGACACTCCCGACACTCCATATGTACTTGATTATGATTGGTAAACCACTTTACGATGGCAATGGTACTCTCGGCTCCGATATCGCACCCATATGCTGCCACGAGATTATGACATGAATAGATGGGATAAGAATAGTATAAGGAAGGCCCTAGGGTGACCTTGTAGCCCCCGCTGATTAGTTGAGTAGAGAGAAGGAAAAAAAATTGACTCATGTTCATTCGTCCTCGTTCCAGGTCAGAGATCCCGTGCGTCACAGTCATGACCATGTTGGAGCTTGTCCCAAACACGTTAATCTGCATAAGGAGCCACTTTCGACTGGTCCAGTCTTCTGGGCTACAGCCACGAGTGTTTCCAATGTCAGGGTCTATTGCCCAACTTGTTGACATTTCCGAATGAAGAGAATGACGGGCGTCGAGTGGGTAGCTGAGAGGGTTTATGATGAAACACGGACATCTGTGACGACCCCTGCATATTTTTCCCTCTCTCTCTCTCTCTCTGCCTGCCACATGGGTTTTGCTAGGGCAGGGCTAGTCTCATACAGGAAGGCGATGCTAGCAGGTGTCTCTCACCATGTGGTTTGGGGGGAGGCCAGACTCTTGACACTCGTCTCCGCTGGCTGTGTCACATCACTACCGTCTTGCATATGGCTGGACCAACAACAATAAGTCCCACGAGTGAGGATGTGCATGTTTGGAACTCCGCGGATGGCAGCAGTGTTGGTATGAGTGAGGGTGGAGTGATGGTTTCAGACATGTATATTAATTTGCCGATAGGAGGGTGGAACAAACCCTGAGAGGAAAGTCGTCGGCACCACCTTGATCCAAATTCCTTTGAGGGCTTGTGGAATAATACAAACAGTGAGGAGGAGTAGAAGGAAGGCGAGAGGTCAGCCTAAGGTAGTTAGAGTTTAGATCCACATGTATGTACCCAGTACCTGAAGTCTATTTCTGAAACCTATGCAACTCTGGGCCAATGTGAACGGCTGCTATGTCTGATTAGGCAAGAGAAAAGGTGGCCCCGCATGCATTACTATCTTAGCATGCAGACTATAAGATGGAAACTGGCTCCATATGATTCGTGCTGGTCAATAGACTAACCCTCTGTGGTCAGGACTGCGAACTGGTGTGCAGAGGAGAGAATCAGCGGAGATAATGCTTGTCTCGGCCAAGTCGCCTCGTGCGTACTTGCCCTGAGTTCCGAACTGAAATGCCTATACCCCCAGACCTTCGGATACTTCCCCATCTTAGAAAGTTCAGATAGAGCGATGTGCGTACCATGGAACGCCGTTGATTCCGGGACTTAGGGGCTACCGCACTGCCGAGCGACTGAATAATCTGTGAAGAAATACACGCGCATCCACGTGAACTCAATCGGCAGCAAGCCTCCGATGACGCAGCGTGGTTTTTTGATCGGTTGACCAACGAGAAGGCCTTGATCGACCCAAGATTCTCCCGAACCGAGGATTGAAAGCAAATTGGAGTCGTACCAGATGCACGCCCGGTACAACGGCTGTCTCCAACATCCGCCACGAGCTCGGAGTGAACCCTGGGAGGACAAGGCACGCAGAGACATACGGCCAACGATTCGTTCACCCCTTCACCTGACCAGCTCCTGATGGAAATCCCCACTGATCAGCAACCTGGAGATGGGGGAAGCCGTCGAAGGGAATGAATGGCTGGCTGATCCGCTACCAGACCGGACTTCAGAAGCCCTTATGTGGCCGATGTAAGGCTGCCCACGACTTTGAGTTTCCTCGTGGGCATGAACAAACCACGATAATGTCAGTTGAGCTATGAAGCCCCAGCGTACTTCCGAAAACGGGAAAACGCCCGTTTGGCGATTTTCGGACGAAAGTCTAAATTCTCCCCACGACGGAGATGTATACTGATTCGGAGAGTTGCTGAGTTTAAGCTGCTGCCTCTGCGAATCTCCCCCTCATCTCGGTACAGTTGCTGGACCTGGCGGCCTCAAGAGAACGGTTCAGGAAAAGATTGCTCCATGGTTATCCGGAGGGATACTAGCTCCGCGGAAAATGAACTTCGAGCTGCATTAGTCTGTGTGTGTGTGGGGAGAACCGTTGGGGCTGAAGGGAAATGGCGAGTGGTGATTGCTCGCTGACGGTGATTTGAAATTCCTAGAGTCGAGCTTAACCAATCGAACTACTTTAGTATTAGGATCGTTAGCAGTAGCTTTGGAGGAGATAGTCCGGCTCACTCCTAAACTGAATCAGACACTAGATAGCACGATGGACCAGGACTAACTAGGGAAGTGAACGGACTATTCCCTGTTATTAATGCTATGATCTGCAAGGCGGGTCTTCGACTGGGGACGAGGAAATGAAAGTCCAGTAGCACCCATCGGAAGCCCAGACCGAGTCGAAGTTGAGATGAGCCGGAGTAGGAGTGACAGCACAGGACGCAGAGTGCATCTACGCTGCGACCGCAAGGCGAGAAGAGGCCATGTGACTCCCTAGCGGACGATCGTGTTGCCAGTTCATTTCCACGTACCATCCACCTACATCATGATCTTCGCCAGCTTCAAACGTCTGGATTCCCCATCGGGGGGTTCTGGCCGGGATGGGCTGAGAGAAGGATTGGATTACCCGGAGTTTCTTCGGCGCCTATCAGCTTCCGATATTCAATCAGCTTCCGATGAACGCAGCTTGCTGATTTGCTCACCCCGGGCTTTCTCCAGTTGAGGGAGGGTCGTCATTCCGAGGAACACCTGTTATCTATCGGGATTAGGGATAGTTGAGGTGGTTAAGACTTAAAGAGTGCAATATGGATGTAACAACAATGACAACACCTTGCATGAGATCATCGTCGATTGTTTGATAACAACCTTTAGGCTCAGGATCAGTCCACGTGCGGATCCGACCGTAGGACACTGGGGACCATTGAGATAGCCCTTGGGATCTTCGCCCTGGCGATGGTGAAACGACCATTCCCCCAAAAGGGTATGCTGGCAGCTGGTCAGGAGTGAAAAGTGACTCTGGCCGTTTGAGACAGGCCAACAGACCAACAGGCTCGGAGGAGTCCAACAAAAGTAGTATAGCCACCGAAAACCCAAAGAAATCCCCTTAAGGCCCTCGAAGAAGGTTTCGGAAACCTTGGATTTCGGACCTCAACATAAGTGCATGTCCGCCAGTCAGAACAGCGTGATTACTGTGTGCACGGTCGCCATTTGTTGGTGGGGGAGAGGTAGATGACCTGCTCAAATCATGCTGGAGAAAAGCCGGGGGACTTCTGGGATGGACATGAGTTGGAAAGCAACCGCTGTCCTCATACTTGGAGATAGAGAGTAGTAACTGCAGGGTTTGCTTTCCTTGATCCCTGGGAATTTAGAAAGGTAGGTGGAATTGGTTTCCTATGCTTTAGCGTCCATATTAAGATTTTAATTAAGACAGGGATTCGAGATAAAAATATGAACCAAGCAATCTAACCATAACAGACGGAGTTCCCAGCCTGCTTCACACCCCAAGCCTCCCCCGTATTCAGTGATTCACACACACAAGTCCACTGCAATTAATCTATCGTAGACTTACCTGTACTATCTATAGCCTCTATCTGTCGCATAGATGCCCGCCATGCGCTCCATTGGGGCTGAGTACAGTATAGTTGTCGACTTCACCGCAAAGAAACTCCATACAAGTGTCAATTTAGCTTACTTCATTGTTAGTACTTACGTACACTCAGTTGCATTGGCTGTGTCTACTAGTACGTAGTGGTATCTAGGTATCCTGTTGCAGGGAACAGCGGATCTGCCATCCGGTGGGCGAATGACCTTTAGACGCAGGTACACACCCTTGCAACGATAGACGCAGGGGCATATTCTACCTGCTAGCTTTTCATTCTTTTTTCTTTTTCTCTTTTTTTTTTCTTTGTAATTACTCCGGACCCAGATGCCTGAGTGGTGCACTCACGCCTCCTTGGCCTCCACCCTAGCCAGCCACGGTGACGGGAGCGTGAAAATCATCCGTTCCGAAGGCTCGCAGTCTGCTTTCCCGTCTGTACAAAGCGACTGGACGGGCCTATCGATGCTTGACGGGGTAGCCGAACGAGATGCAGTAGTCCTCTTTCCTTCTTCTTCTTCTTTTTTTTTTTTTTTTTTTTTTTTTTTTTTTTTTTTTTTTGGCTTTCTGTGTGGAGGGGTCTATCTCTTTCGCACGTCCTGAAGACCCGAAATTAAACACCTGCAGAGTGCAGAGGAATTTTACGGTAGACAAACCAGCAGCCGAAGGTCAGTGCTCGCTTGT